TAAGCTCAGTGAGTCTATCTTAATCTGCTTGGATTCTTTCGCTCTGTGCTATGATCCGGGAAATGCCTCCAGGCATATAGCTAGACTGATTGGAGATCTTAACTAATGTGTTTTTCTTTCATTTTTATTACAGTCTTGTACTGCTTGTTGTCCAATCTCAGAAAAACATTCCTTCATATGTTCTTAATTATTTATGGTAAAAGAGTAACTCTAATATCAGTTGCCCAATTATGACTAGAAGTGGAAATCCCTCCATTTATTATTTTTGACATAGACTTTACTATTTGCTTTATAAGGTTGGTTGTACAACGCACATTGTATGACAACTTCTGGCTTAGCCTGTTCCTCTGAGAGGATCCTTAAATCACTTCTAATTACTCGATGCCCCAAACATTCTAGGTGTGGAACAAAAATTTTTTCGATAAAAATGAGTAGTTTGGTCTTATTTTCTTTCTTTTCTCTTTTTTTTTTTTCTTTCTCTCTCTTTTTCCACTTTCAACAAACCTCTAATATTCATGTTGTGATTTCTAGATCTTTTGCATCTCTACGTATTTACTCTCTCCTCTTGCTCAGCAGCACCTAGAAAATCTTGTTATTCCATTCTTCAGTATCTGAAATTAGCTCCCATTTAAGACCCCTTTAAGGATGCATACCTTGAAAGGAGTTCAGAGTGGCTAGAAAATGGGTTAAGTGGATATACAACAGGGTTGACCAAGATGTAAACCTTACAGAAGCCAACTGGACCTATAAAGCATTATTTGTGATTTTAAGAAGAGAATACTTGATCTAGAATTGTGCAATCTGATGTGGTAGTCACTAGCCACTGGTAACCATTGATCAATTGAGATGTGGCCAGTACCTCTGCTGAAATGATAAGATTTTAGATATATTTGGTTATATAAATTCTTAAAGTTAATTTCATCTGTCTGTTGTTACATTTTTTATGTGTCTTGTCTTATATTCCTAATGGACAGTGCTAATTCAGAAAGCATGGGACAGGGGAAGAGATATTGAGGTTTTAAGAAAGACAGTACAATGATCAGTTTGCATTTTAGAACCAATGGTCTGGCTGTCTGTAGAGAACAGATAAAAGAGGGACAATCTGAGGGCAAGAAGAGCAGTTAGAAGACCGTTGTGATGGCACAGGGAAGAAATGATTGTCATAGTCAGAAACACAAAAGTTGTATTTCTATGGGCTAAATTTTCCATTTGCTCCATTAGTGGGAGGGAAGCAAACTATAAGGAAAGCATGAAATAAGGGATTCAAAAAATATTGGTGTCAGTTTGTTTTGGAAAGCAGTTGCCCAGTCTTACACAAGTATAAACACACATATTAACACCTCCTGCTGTACTACTCTTGATCCTATTTTAGGCCAATTCTAGACTAACACAGCCTAGTGGGAGCAGGGCCTCCTGTGGATTGACATAGACAAGTCATTTGGAGCCGGTAGAAATAATTTGTCCCTCCAGATTTAGCTCTGTTACTTACTTACCAATTGTTTGATCCTGGTCAGGTTACTTAAACTCTCTGAGTCACATTGTCTTCATAAGAAAAATAGCTAATTCTTCAACAGCGTTAGTGAGAGATTAAAGACAAGATGCAAAAAGAATTGAATTCCAAAAAATTAATGCTCTGAAATTGTAGGTGTGCTTGGTATTCTCCTCCACATAGTAATCAATGTCCATGTGTCACAGAGGAGGATTGACTATGATTTCACTACCTGGGCCTGTGTGAGCTACACCCATTAACATTTGGCAAGGTGGTGCCTCTGAAAGGTGTGAAGCAATAACAACCCCCAGACTGTCACAGTATTTTGCTCAGGAAAGTTTGGGGCGCTCAGGCCAGCACATTTTCCTTACCATTGATGGCCCTGGAAGAGGTTGAACTAGACAAAGGGTAGCAGGCCAGGCTCTCTGAAGGTCAAGTAAACAAAACCTTATTTGGCTAACGTGCTGGTTATCGAGACACACAGCTGTTTCAGGACCTTTCTTTCTCACGCTTGGAGTTTGGTGTCACAAGGTTGCCAGAATCTGAGCCTAAATTTAAGTCAATATCAACTCCTCTGCAAATACAGCTACAAGGTTAAAAACTGTGTAAAATATTTTTTTTAATGCCCAAGTTTTCAGAGTCCAAGTTGAATCAATATTGTGCAGCACTTGAAAAATACAGGACTCAGAATTATTCCTCAATGAGGGCTCATCTTGGTTTTCAGTGCCATAAGGTACCTGGGGAAGGCTGCCTGGGCTCTGTCCCCCTTCATAGGGCCCACCTTCTACCCTGCAATCCTGAGGTCCAGGGAGCAACAGAGGCTGGCACAAAGTAGATTTTGGTGGTAGTTCCAATCCACTTCTGGCCTTTTTGAAAGTCTCCTAAGTGTGCAGACCTTGAGATGCCTCAACTTCCAATAATTTATATCCTGGGGCCCAGGCAACACTGGATGAATTTTCACTAAATCCTGGGTGCCATATGGACTCAGATTGACTGTGGAACAATCATTGCCACCAGGGACTGAAAGAAAAATTCCCATTAAAATTAAGATTCTGTCAAAATGGAGTGGATACTTCAGCAGTTATTTTCTATAATTTGGGAAGTAGTAGGAATTTTTTAAAAGCAAGTACTAGAAAAAAGAACTTTCTAGACATTAGTGTTACATATAAATAAGCACTGTCCAAATCTTATAGCCCAGCATATAATGTTTGATAGCTAAACTGTTCATGGAAGTAGAAGAAATAGTATATAATAAGCAATCTCTACTGATTAAGGTAATGATAATTGCTATAATCTTTCTATATCAGTGGCCTAAAATAGCGGTTTATTTCTTACTCATATCAAATCCAAAATGGGTATCATGGATGGGTGGCTTTTCTCTAAGCAAGGAGCCCAGTTCCTTCCATCTTGTGGTCCTACCATCTTTGACACATGGTCTTCAAGGTTGCTATGCTTGCATGAAGCAAACCAAAGAAGAGATGGCACATGGAGGAGCATGTGTGAGTTTTTATAAACTTACTGGAACTGTTGCACATCCATGAACTCATATATCTCATTGCCCAGAATATAGTCATGTGACCCCCGTTTCTCTGCAGGGGAGAATATGATGGGAAATAAGAGTGTCATTGTGTTCCCTGTAGGAAGATGGTAGCAATCTCACCACATATTATATATACAGACACTCCTAAATAACAAGCTAGTGGTCTGAATGAAGCAATATGGTTGATAAAATTTTACAACTCAGCTAAAGAGTTAAGCAGGATTGCATTTAGAGGAAGTCATTCATCTAGAGCTGATATGATAGACTACTGGTTAAGTATCATTCCCTTCTGAGCTTTTATAAATTTGAGAAATTGAATCTTCCCAAAATATTCTAAAATTTAAACCTATTTTAGTTTACCAAATAACTTCCCATAGACTCTGTTAGGTGACTTTTGATCCTAATTCTTTAGCCTATGTTAAATGAAGGAAGCCTATTTATGGATTAATTTTGTACCATCCAAAATGCCAACTTAGAAAATTTGTGTCAGTTACATAGTAATTATAAATGTAAGTTACTTCATGGTAAAACAAGGATGAACATTGACTCTCATAGGATATGACTCTATGGTGAATACTCTACAGATGCCTAAATACCATAGAGATGCAAGACTTTAATTCTTAGAAGTTTCTAGATGGCTTTTTTTGCTTGTTTTGAATAAAAGAGACTTCACAGTTCTCTCTTGTGTGTTTATGGAAGTAGTTGTTACAGTAGTGGTTATGCAAAATAAATAGTTTTTCATATTTATTCCCTTGTTTGTTTATTCGTTCAGTAGAGAGTTGTTGAAGAGCTATGTACTAAACAGTGGGCTAGAGGTTAAGATGTGACTGACAACAAGGCCCCAAGAACTCTAACCTTCTAGTTTATGAACCATAAGTGATGGGTCCCAAGTGAGGGAAGTTCTAAGGTTTTCATAGAGGGAACAGAGGAACCCACTTAATAGGGGCTGGAGAAGACTGCCTGAGGAATGACTGAAAGGCTAAGATGTAAAGATTTGGGTGGAAATTTCCTATGGCTTCCACCCATGGAATTCCTTTCTTGTGCCTTCTGTTTTTATTTTAAATTTTCCCAGCAAAGTTTCCTTGTACACAAATAATTTTATTGATTTTCTCTGTACCTGTAAGCTTTGTCAGGGGGCTGAATTATTAAAGTGATCACTTTTGACCTACAAATGTGACAGTTTCATATAACTCAACCTACATCTGTGACACTTTCAGGCTACATGATCTGATCTCTTAAAATTATGGTATCACATTGAGGTCTTTAAAAAATATATTCTAAGCAATCTATTACAAACTAAAAATATCACAGTTCTCTTCTTTTAGGTACTTCTCTTTCAGTTCATTTTTCCCAAGTTGAATTTTATTTTTCTCTGATTCCTAATTTCATCTGATGGCACAGTCACTCATTCCACCTTTTTGCTCTCAGGAGTACCCGCAACTCTTTTTGTAAGCTTGTTTGTTCTTTCCTCCATGATATTGTTGACAAATAAATTAATTCTGTGGATTATCAACAGAAACTATCAATGACTTTTCTAGACAGAATGAACTCTTCTATAAGAAATGCTTCTATTCAATTGTTTTTGAGGGTAAGGCAAGGTTATACAAAAGCTGCATGAACGGGTAGGCTGTATTTGTTTTCAATACTACTGTTATCAAATCTGTGAAAACAATTTAGCTTCACACACTCCCACAGACCTACATACATCATTGTAAGCTAAAAGGGGCCAAGAGGACTGGAAGCTTCACTACAATGAAATTTTGGTGATTCTGAGCATTACATAATTACATCACTGCCCCTTTCTCATCTTCCCATAGGTTCTGTGGAAAACTTCCCTACTCTATTAACCTTGGTTTATCTATGACTAAAAGTAGAAATACGTCTTTGGAAATGTCTCTCCTTTCATGCCACTTTTCCAGAGTACTACTCAAAAAGATAAGGGTTGCCTATAAAAGAACATTGTGATCTGGTTGTATGTGGAACCTGAGGGAACTGCCATGGTGAGTCAGGAACATGTTTTTCAGGCCTAATTTATCAGAATTTACCCATTTCCACCCTTCACCTCTGAGATCTACATGAACTTAAATTTTGCCAATTGTTTAAAAAATGTATTTAGCCAGACTCAATCATGTTTTTACTTTGTGTAGATGCTGCTACTCTGGACTCTTTCACTGCTGCTGGGAGCAGTAGCAGGTAAGAAAAAATATTTTGTGGAGCTTGGAGAGACTAACTGCTCAATTTTTCCAAGAAGGGCTATGACTGATGAATTCAAGCCACAATTAGTATAAGGAATAAAGTAAGGGAGATGCATGACTAAGGACACAAGTGCTTGGAGGAGAGTTGCCAGATAAAATCTAAGATGTCTCATTAAATTTGAATTTCAGATAACATATACTTTCCATAAACAATGAATATGTGACATACACTAAAGAAAATTAATTGTCTAGCTGAAATTAAAATTGAACTTGTATTGCTATTTGCTAAGCTAGCAACCCTAGCTTGAATCAAGTCAGAGGTTGAACCCTAGTTTCACCATCTGCAACCATATTACCCTGAGCAAAATTTTAAACTTCTGTCTGCTTCAGTATCTTTGTCTGTAAAATGGAGTTAATTGCATTAACCCTCTCATAGGATTATTGTGAGAATCGGGTAAGGCAAATAAATAATCTTGCCCACCACCTGGCATATAGTAAGGTTTTGAGAAATGCGGCTCCCTCAACAGCTACTACTCATTCATACCATGAGTCTAGATTTATCCTTCTTAAGTAGGAGTGAGATCTTTGAGTTGTCCCTTTATGGGATTCCTTTATGGGGTAACATTCAGCCTAGAGTTGTGTCAAGCCATGGATTTTTTTGTTTGATTATTTGTGAGAGTCTTCATCACAGAAATGATGATTTCATAACAGCAAGGATGAAGATATATAGTTTTGGCCTTTCTGTGAAATTTAAGCTCTCCATCCAAAGCAGCCCAAGGTTACATGGGTAGATACTAGGAGTTAAGAACTTCATCAGTTTTCACCAAGGCTTGGGGACAAGGGCTTTTCCTATCTTGTCCACTAGTGGTCCAAGGGAAACATCTGAGTTTAGAGGCTAAAACAAGTCCCAAGTTGGTAATGGGTAGAGACACAAGAGGAGGGAGGTGTTCTTACATAGTAAAATTGAGGAAGAATAGCCTATTTATAACAGTGGGTTGTCTTTGAAGCTGTTTTGTGAATGTGTAGCTAGAAGGGTGTTTGAGGAAGTAGAGGAGGAAAATCTGCCACAAAATGTAATTTAACTCATACATTGGCAGACACCATTAAAAAGAGCATGCTCATAAAACTAATGTCCTTGAAACACTTCTGGGGAATTGCAGGAAGAGAAGTCTGCTTCCCAAGACTCGGCTGCTTCAGTGATGATGCCCCATGGGCAGGAATTGTGGAAAGGCCACTCAAAATATTGCCCTGGGCTCCAAAAGATGTCAATACCCGCTTCCTTCTATATACTAATGAGAACCCAAACAACTTTCAAGTAAGATCTATATTTGTGTTTAGGATGAAGTTTCACTTGTTTCATGTAATAAGGATACTAAATATTTAAGTTCTAAAGAGAAAATAATTAAACTGAAATTTGCATTTTTGTAGATTTTTCAGGGCACTGAGCTTAAGTATTATTTTATGTAACTTGATTACAAAAGGTCCACTAGCTTCATATAATTCTTATTCTAACTCCTTGGTATCATTTAATAAATATTATAAATATAGGAATATATTTGTATATATAAAGTATATAAAAACTCCAATATCATGTACTTATATGATCTCTTAACATTCCGTGCATATATCTTTATGATAGATAGATAAAATGAGTACAGATGTATACTGACACACACACAGTCTTCCATTATGTGAAGACAAGGTCCTTACCACCAACTTTGTAGCAGATATACAAACTGAACAACTGGAAACATATGCTGATGACAGGAAAATAGCAGTGTGGTGATGATTGTGAATAGTGAGGTTGTAAAAGGAAAATCCTTATTCACAAGGATCCAAAATCTCCTACTTTCCGGCTCCTTTCATATACTTATGGTTCTACTGGATACTGTTAAGAAAGTTGACATGAAACACTTTTCTGTATAAACAGGAAATTGTTGCAGATCCATCAACCATCAGTGGCTCCAATTTCAAAACAGATAGAAAAACCCGCTTTATTATTCATGGATTCGTAGACAAGGGAGAAGAAAGCTGGCTAGCCAACATGTGCAAGGTGAGACATGGTCAACTCCGAAGGAAAAGTTGTTTCCAAAGTTAGCAGCCAGTAAGGCACTAACCCCAACTAATGAGAACAAATGGTGGTCACTGCAGCACTGACTGAAGGATCCTCTGACTCCTGCTGGGTCTGGAGTTCTCAGAGGAGGTATAGGAGGTGACTGTAGGAGAAGCGAGGCTGGGACAGTCAGGGCAATGAGACTGGGAGGCATTCTGTGAGTCCAGATGGTTGTTATGTAATAACTAATACAGAGATGTTTCAAATTTTAGCACAAGATGAGGATGCTGCCTGTCATAGTGATGCATACTAGCTGGTCATAGGCCCCAGTTTTTTCATTAGCTTTTAGTTTCCATATGAAGAGCTAAGAGATCTCATTTTGCCTAAACTAATTCTTTCCCTTTGATTTCCACTTGCTACTCTTTGATCTCCTTTGGTAGCGATAACCAGGAAAACTAGATTTTCATTCCTGGTTTCTGTTGTTTCAACAGCAGTGATCCTATTTTCTTTAATTTGCCTTTGGCTATGTGCTCTGTAATAACGAAGAATTAAAAGACAGAAAATCAAATAGAATAAATTTTCCCAGCAACTGCTAGTTCTTACACAGCATTATTGATTAATTTATTCCTGTGTTTATTCATGTATTCATCAAATTTCTTTAACCTGTTGTGGTACAAAGGGGTAATCATTTCTTCAGAAATGTCAAGAAAAAAGACACTAAGGTCCTCCTAAACCTATTCATTTTCAGGCCAGTCTATGACTCAAACTTAGGAATGAATGAGTCAACTCCAGAGCATATCTGCAGACAAATGAACACCCTAGAGTCCACTTTACAGCTTAAAAATAAGCAGTAAAACTGCAACTTGTCTTCCAAAATAATTTAAAACTGAAGATTATTGGGGGGATGATAGTAATAGATTTTTATACAACAGAAAAAATGTGATTCTTAGCTCAAAAGGAATATAGCTTCTTTTGATTTATGTATACAATTTATTTTCTAAGATCCCAGAAGCAGTTGTGTTGTTCTTCTATTTTGTTTGTCTTTGTCAAGACTGTCATATTAAGATGGAAAACCAAGTGGATTAAACTAGAAAGGTAAAGGTTCTAGATTCCAGTCCTAACTCTCTCCTTAGCTAACTATTGCATTAGTCAATCCTTTCCCTCTTTTGGATTTTTCCTTCCATAAAATGTAACAGTTGGGGATGACTTCTAAGATTGTTTTATTATTTTCACATTCTTTTTGGAGAAAGAAGGGAATATGTTTAAGTGCACACTCAAATAAACAAAATTCCTGCCAGAACTAACATATTTAAAGCCATAGTTAAGCCCCATCAAACAAGTTTTTCAGTAGGTATCTGGTTTCAGTAGGTATCTATGTTTTCATGTGGAATAAATCTTTAGTGATGGACAATGAAACATATCCATTCCAAAACTGATTAGTCTTTCCATTATAAAAGGTTTCTTTCTTTACCCTCAATAGTTGTATAAAATTAAGGTCTCCTAAAATAGTCTTTCATTCATTCAGCAAGTTATGTATTCAGTACTTATTATGTACCAGAAACTGTTTTAGGCACTGAGGATACAGCAGTGAACAAGGCAAATAATGTCCCTGGGCACATCCTAATAATGGACAATGTAGTGTTACGTCATTTAAGATGACCTAATGAACAACCCATTGCACCACATTTTATACATTTTCCTCTGAATCAAATGTCTCTGTATCTGTGACAATAGAAATGCCAAAATTCTGGTTCCCACTATGGCTAAGCCTGCAACTCAGAACCAATGTTAAACTTAAGAAGGAATTCCATACCCAAAACATTCCAGAAGTTTTGTCCATTGTATTGTGGTTAAAAGTGACAAGATCTTGTGTTGGTAAAGGAGGGAATTGATCCTTGTCCTCAAATGTATTAAAAGTAATTAATAAAGATCCTGAATTATTTATCTGTTGATTATGTTTCTTCCACCAGAAACTATTTCAGGTAGAAAGCGTGAACTGCATCTGTGTGGACTGGAAAAGCGGCTCTCGGACTGGATACACACAGGCTTCACAGAACATTCGTATTGTGGGAGCAGAAGTGGCATATTTCATTGACATTCTTCAGGTAACTATCTCTGGGTTATATAAAAGCCTATGATTGAGAAAATATCACATTGGAATGTACTTATGTAATTCCTTTAATTTTTTCCAAAGTTTTCAAGTGAAGTTTATTTAGAGAGAAAGTAAATTAGAGAGAAAGAGAGAGTCACCTCCCCAAGGTATGGGAGGGGGCCAAAGCTAAGAAAACATGGTAGCCACAGCTCAAAGAGCCATGTGTAGACAGCAGAGTTTAACAAAGCAATGACCTCCTTTCATTATTATCTGATAATGTAAATATTTTTTTCATCACCTCTGGGTAACAATTCTTCATGTCCATCAAGAGTTCCCTTAACAAAATAGAGCTCCTTCCACCAGTTTAAAAGTTAAACCTATTTCAATTTTGCATTATAACTATATTTAAAAAATCTCTTGAAAGTCCATTTTAAGGGAAAGTGTGACTTCTTAAAACTTAAGTTTGTGAAATTTCACTTTCCGTGCTCATCTTGAATTATGTAATGTAGTCATGCATCACCCAATGACATTTAGATCAATGACAGACAACATATACGATGGGCACATAATCCTGAAAGATTATAAAGGGGCTGAAAAATTCCTATCACCTAGTAAATTCATACCTGACATGATGTTGTGGGACAACGCATTACTCACATGTTTGAGGGAATTCTGTTGTAAAGAAACTTACCACTTAACTAGCCATATAAAGGTATGTTTAGTATGTAGTATTTGATAATGATAATGGACAAATGTTACTGGTTTGTGTATTACCAGACTACTTTTTAATTATTATTGTAGAGTATATGTCTTCCACTTATTTAAAAAAAAAAAAGTTGAACTGTAAAACAACCTCAAGCGGGGCCTTCAGAAGATTTTCAAGAAGGCATTGTTACCATAGGAGATGACTGCTCCATGCACATTATCTCCCCGAACACATTCCAGTGGGACAAAATGTGGAGGTAGAAGATAGTGATGTTAATGTTACTGGCCCTGTGTATGCCTGTGTGTTTGCGTCTTTGTGTTTAACAAAAAAGTTTAAAAGTAAAAAAATAAAAAATCTTAATTGGAAAAAAGTTTATAGAAAAAGGATCTAAAAAAGAAAATAATTGTGTATAAGTATACAGTGTGTTTGTGTGTCAAGCTAAGTGTTATTACAAAAAGTCAAAAATATATAAAAATTAATTTTTTGAAAAATAAAAAAGTGACAGTAAGCTGAGGTTAATATATAATTGAATAGATAAAAATATTTTTATGAATTTAGTGTAGCCTAAGTGTAGTGTTTATAAAGTCTGCAGTAGTGTACAATAATGTCCTAGTTCTTCACATACTTTAACCATTTACTTGCTGACTCACCCAGAGCAACGTCCATTCGTGGTAACAGGTGTACCTATTTTATCTTTTATGCCATATTTTTGCCATATCTGTTCTATACTTAGATATGTTTAGATAGACCAATACTTACCATTGTATTCCAATTGCCTACAGTACAGTAACATGTTGTACAGATTGATGGCCTAGGAGCAATCAGCTAGCCCATATAGTCTAGGTGTGAAGTGGGCGACATCATCTAGGTTTGTGTTAAATTCACTCCATGATGTTTACACAAAGACAAAATTGCTTAAGGACACATTTCTCAGAACATATTCCCATCATTAAGTGGTACATGACTGTACTTGAAAATATTCTGAAAAAGTTTTCTCTCCACAGTCATCTTTTGGATACTTGCCTTCCAACATCCACATCATTGGCCACAGCCTGGGTTCCCATGCTGCTGGGGAGGCTGGAAGGAGGACAAATGGGACCATCGGACGCATCACAGGTTGGCCATAACAGTGAAAACTGCCAGGTGTGGTAGCCCACCTGTAGTCCTAGCTACTCAGGAGACTAAGGCAAGAGGATTAGTTGAACCCAGGAGAGTTCAAGACTAGTCTAGGCAATATAGTAAGACCCTGTTCCCCCAACATCCCCAAAAGCAGTAAATGCAGTCTTTATGTTGTCTTAAAGGAAATATAGGATGAAAATTTGGTGCAACCTGCTTTTTACCTTTTCACATTTTCTGAATTAGGCCCTACGATCAGAAATCAGTATATTCTGAAGCCTTATAGATTTTTGTTGATATTATCTTTCGTTAACAGCATTCTGTATAACATAAATATAATGCATGTGACTAAAATGTGAATTGAGGACACCTAGAGATCTTATTTATTTGTTTCTATTTCCCCCAGTCAGGCATTCCCAAAAGACAAGTTTCATGAATAGAATAAATAACATGAATAATAGAATAAAAAGAATTAAACCCAAAGCGCTGAAATTTTGTATAATTAATTATATTATGCTTCAATAGCAATTGCTAATGAGCCTTAATTTCACTAAACACACCCCCAGAGGTGTTGGGGACAAGGTGATCAGGCTGCTCTGGGCTGTCAGTTCTGCATGCTTCTCATTAGATTAAAAATATTATCTTACAAACCTCAGCGTGGCTGCATTTGGCTAGAGGGGGTTGTTGCCAGATGGGTGAATCATGATAATCTGTGGGTTCCCTGGCCAACCACTGAAAGGAATTTGAGAGCTACCAGTACAGTTTTAAAACTGAGTTTATTACAGAGAGAGAGAAAAAAACAGAGAAAGAGAGACATGCTGGAGAGGCAAAGGTGTCTCAGACGAAAGATTGTGTGCTTGCCTTTGAAAGGAAACTGTGTATACTTTTACAACGATTATTAAACTAGCCATGAACTAAGGCAGATGTCTGGTCATGAGTTTTAACTGCCATCTCTCAACTTTCTAAGGTCATAAGGACCTTCTAAATAATTAAAGGTATTGCCTAAGTAGATTTGGGCTTGAAAACATCATGTCTGGTCAGGCTTGGTGTCTCAGCCTTAAATTCCAGCACTTTGGGAGGTCGAGCCGAGTAAATTGCCTGAGCCCGCGGGTTTGAGATCAGCCCGGGCAACTTGGTGAGACCTTGTCTCTACAATAAATCAAAAATTAGTTGAGTGTGTTAGTGCCTGTAGTTCTAGCTACTTGGAAGGCTGAGGCAGAAGAATCGCTGGAGCCCAGCAGGTCGACACTGGGGTGGCCTTGAGTGTGCCACTGCACTCCAGTCTGGGTGACAAAAAGTGAGACTCCAACTCAAAAAAAGAAAGAAAGAAAGAAAGAAAGAAAGAAAGAAAGAAAGAAAGAAAGAAAGAAAGAAAGAAAGAAAGAAGGAAAGAAGGAAAGAAAGAAAGAAAGAAAGAAAGAAAGAAAGAAGGAAAGAAGGAAAGAAGGAAAGAAAAGAAAGAAAGAAAGAAAGAAAGAAAGAAAGAAAGAAAGAAAGAAAGAAAGAAAGAAAGAAAGAAAGAAAGAAAGAAAAGAGAAGAAAAGAAAAGAAAAAGAAAAGAAAACATCATGTTTGTGTTTTGGGTAATTTCCCATTGTTTCTGTGACTTGCTTCACTGATATGTCCATAATCCATCCTGCAAGTAGTCAGGTCTGGTGTGCCTGGTTGGTCAGGTGAAGGTCTGAACCGATAAGAAAGACATCTTAACGCTCACCTATTTTAATGTAATCTGCCTACAAGAAACTTATCCATCTATGTCTAACCTACACTAAAACAACCTGCCTCAGGGGTCACATATTGGATACTCACCTCCTCAAACAACCCAGTAAGCTTATTAGAAAGACTGCCATCCTGGATCTAAGAGGTGACTAGTTCTCTCTCCTTTTCTGTCAATCTTCTACATTTCTGTCTCTGACCCAGTGATTATCTTTTTAATACTTTAGATAGGTGGAGTATATTTGCATTGGGGACCATCTGGAATGCCTATTCATTAATTTGCTGAAGATAAATTCTGCACAGAATTTTCTTTCCCATAGTCTGTAAATGTTTACCACAGCCTGCTCAGCCAGGTGCTATGTGATGCAAGGCTGTGGTCTCAAGGATTGTGAAACCCAAGGTTCTTGCCCACATGAGAGTTTATTATCCAGTGGGGACTCATTTATCCTCAATAGCTTTTTGGTCCAGTGTGTCCCAGACTAAGGTTCTCCCAGTGACTAATGTGTTAGGAAAGTGAACAGAATCTGGGGACCTTATATCCACCATGCCAAAAGGAACATTAAACCTGGAAACTGAGACACACACACACACGCACACACATGCACGCAAACTGCATTCCTTTTGTTTTCAAACAGATGGCTGCAAGTTAGACGGCCACATATCTCTCCAGATGGCCTCTCTTACAAATTGATTGCAAGGAAATTCCTTGTGGGCCCCAAATCTTTCAGAATACATATCCCCCACTGTGGGCAGGCTCTAAAGCAGAGTTATGTTGGCTCTCACCCTGACTATGTAAAATTAACAATTCACTTTCACAGGTAAGGAACAAGGAGGGCTAAAAATCACTCCTTCAACCACCCAGAGACAAAAGTATAGTTGAATATTAATTTTTGCTTTATCTTATGTGAAATAGATATTTATTGACCTGACACAAAACTGACTGTTCCTCTACTCCCTTTTCATATGTAAAATGTAAATTCACAGAGCACTAATCAAAACCTTCACAAGAATGTAACCACTTGCTTCATTGCCTACTATTTTTTTTCTTTCCTCCTTCCCCTCTTGCTCACTCCTTTCTCCTTTACATACTGAATTCCTCAAAATCCACTCCAGAAAAAAAAGCACAAATCACAGGCACTGTTTTGATTTGTGCTTCTTTTTCCAGGCTCATCCTAAACCTTGGCAACATAAATCTCAAAATCAATTTGGACATGTTGCAATCATTTTTCTGTTTATACCATCCATAAGGACAGGCAAATATTATGCTTTGGGGAAAATTTACTTTAAGGAAATGGCAAAAGAGAATCAGATTTCCCTTCAGAAAATTGTCAAGTAAGGAAGAACTCCATTTCTTTTTATGCATAACCCATGATTACCATCATACTTGCACTCAGGTCTGTGACTAATGAAGGGTGAATGTGCATAAACACTGACAGATAATTAATGACACATCCTGTTTACCTTAGGGTTGGATCCAGCAGAGCCTTGCTTTGAGGGTACACCTGAAGAAGTCCGACTGGACCCTGGTGATGCCCAATTTGTGGATGTAATTCACACAGATGCTGCCCCCGTAATTCCCAATATGGGTGAGTCCCTCCACCTGTCCACCTAGAGGGTTTTAGAGCATCTTGAATCTACACATTAACATGACATTTCTTTATTTTTAAAATTCTTCAGGATTTGGAATGAGCCAAACTGTGGGTCACCTAGATTTCTTTCCAAATGGAGGAGAAAACATGCCCGGATGTCAGAAGAACATTATCTCTCAGATTGTTGATATAGAAGGGATCTGGGAAGGTAAAATCACTATGTGTGCAAAGAGATTTTCTTGGGGGAATGTTTGTGTTTTGTGCTGAACCTAGATACTTTAGAATTGTACAGCTCTCACATTTTATTTACAAAGGACTTTTACTTCTATCCTGGAAATATAGGTTTTCACTGGGAGAAGTGGGCATGAGGAGACTACGAAAAAGAAAGTGTCTTTGCAGTCAACTTCCCAAGCACCAAATTCAGAGGCTACATTACTAAGTCAGACTTATATCTACATAGACCAATCTTTTCCTTCTAAAGTTATTTTTTAATTTCATTTAGCTATGGCATTGCCCATTATAATCACAAACAATATTTAACTTTATTTGCATCATAAATACACTTCATAAGTGATTTTGTTCTGCAGTCTTTATAAGCTCACATGAATTAGTGAAATCTATTCACTAATTATATTCTGATCATGATGTTAACTTGGAAAAATAAAATCTGTCATTTATTTGTAATCATGTCTTATTTCAAAGGAACTCGTGACTTTGTAGCCTGTAATCACTTAAGAAGCTACAAGTATTATGCTGACAGCATTGTCAATCCTGATGGATTTGCTGGATTCCCTTGTGCCTCTTACAGTGTTTTCACTGCAGTAAGTAGACTCCACCCTCAACTTTTAAAGAATTTTGTGACTATGACTAATCACAACTAGTGGGGTTCCCTATACATGACATCATTCAATGAGTGTTTATATGTTCATACTTATATACACCTTAATCACAGATAAGTATTTCAATAGTGATAAATTGGAGGACTTTAAATAAGTGGGCTTGTAAATGATATATCCCATGTCTACTTTCATCTCTATCACTTCTGTATGCATCAGGTAAATATTCAAACTTGTTTTAGAAATAATCCCAAACAAACCAAAAAATAACTAATCTATGGAAAGCTCAGCTATGTCTACAGTAGGCTGATGAACATGGAAAAATTTCCTTCAGTGTTGACCTTTTAACTATATATTTATGAACTTGTATACATTTCTGTACAATCTCATAATTGCCATTTTTTTGAGTTTTCATTTTATTTGGTATACTCTTGATATCTTGGTTGGATTCTTTTTCTTTTTTTTTTGAGTTGAAGTCTCACTCCGTCACCCAGGCTGGAGTACAGTGGCATACTCATGGCCACCCCAGAGTTGCTATGCTGGGCTCAGGCGATCCTTCTGCCTCAGCCTTCCAAATAGCTGGAACTGCAGGTGTGCACTGCCATGCCCGGCTAATTTTTTTATTTTATTGTAGAGATGAGGTCTTACCAAGTTGCCCAGGTTGTTCTCAGGCAATCCCCTCACCTTGGCCTCCAGAAATTCTGGGATTACAGGCTTGAGCCACCATGCCTGGCAGGTTGGATTCTTATATGTGATCCTGAATATGATATACCTATCATCTGTTGTTTTTTTTTATAAAATTGACTTTTTTACCATGTATTTTTCAAATCAAAATTTGAAACCCATGCCATTTAATAAAGAAAATTTCACCTAATGAATGTGCCAGGTGGAGTCAGAATTATTAAGGAGATATACGTTAGTGATTAAGATTAACTGAAATCCTGGTTTCATCATTAAATAGATAAATGACTGGACAAAACACTTCTCTAAGGAAGTTTCTTCATCTGTGAATGCAAATAACAATGGTAGACCCAACATATTTGGTGAGAGGACTTAATGAGAATATACATGTAAACTGCTTAGCCCAGAGCCAAAAACATAATTAGCAGTCAACAAATGTTAGCTATTACTGGGAGTGGGGTGCATTTTTTAATCATACTACAGCTTGTGTATGCAATAAGACAGAAGCTCCTTCTCTTTTTTTGCTTCAACTTTGTTTTTATCTTTTCCTTAATACCTGACACTAAGTAATAGGGAAAAGAATCATAAAAGCTTTAAGTCTCATCCAGTTAAAACTTAGTCTGATTCAATAACATAAACCGTTCAAGTGATGCTCAGTGTTTTTATAAGAAACACGTTTCAGTCTTGCAAATTTCTTGCCTTTGGAACCCCTCCTCACCTTCCCTCCAAGCTAGTACTGGAGACAGGTGATCTCATGATGGTGGTCTGTGTGTGTCTTCAGTCGAGGAAATGACTTGTGGTCCATTAGTTCAGGGTCTTATGGCTCCTCTGCACTCTGGTCAATATCTCTTTCTGCCTCACTGATAGGTACACTGCTGGCATTTAGAGGTGAATTCTGGGTCTTGTCTACACTCTGGCCTCAGTAATGCCCTCAGAAAGCTTTGGTCATTTCTTCCTGACTGGGTCAGTGTTCCTTGGGCTTTTGTTGAATGCAGACCCTGATGTGCTGAGCCCATTATCTGTTCCACTGACCCACCACCTGTCTTTACTGCAGAGGAGCCTCGCCTCTCCACAGTGGGAATGGGATGCTTTTCCTGCCTCCTCTGTTCCTTACTCTCGATCTTCCCCCTCCCCCGCCCCCAACAGCTCCTTGGTCCAGAAAGAGGGTATTTTCCTGTGTTATATCTGTCTTCTCTAGACCTCAGCCTCAAGGTTAAACCTTAGGTCAACAGAAACATTTTCTCTGCACATAGAAATAATCCTGTGATCTGAATCCTTCAAGTCCTGATATGCTAAATATAAACTAAAGGAGTTGGACAAAAGCCTGACTTTTGAGCCTATTATTCTCCTAATGAATCCTATTTTGCTCATCAGAAGCTGATTATGATATCTTGTTCTACTTGTGCACTCTTCCTAAAATAAATTCTAACTGCAGAGATGTGAACATCTTGGGAAAAATTAGAGAGGCAAAAGAGAAAACATAAATAAATATATATATATTTATAAGGGACTATATATATATATATACATATATATATAATCTTTTGTGGTATTTTTTAGCAGAGTAATTGGTGAATTATTTTTATGACTAATGAAATACATTGCTAATCTTTGCTGCTGAAACACTATTAAAGTCCCTGATTATCATCAGAACAGAAATAGCTAATAATATTTGAATTGCAACATGGAAAAAATAATGCACTATTAAAAGACAAGGCATCCTCATTCATCATTTGTTTGTTTTCACTAGAACAAGTGCTTCCCCTGTCCAAGTGGAGGCTGCCCACAGATGGGTCATTATGCTGATAGATTTGCTAAGAAAACAAATGAAGTGGGCCAGAAATTTTTTCTAAACACTGGTGATGCTAGTAATTTTGCCCGTAAGTTTTTTTCTTTATCTTATATTCTTAGTGCTATATGTTTTATCAGGGTCACTAAAAGCATATAGAATTGCTTTTCTATACAAGGACTTTAAATGCCCCACCTTAATATATAAAAACGTTTAATATTATGCTCATGGTAATTATGGCAAATTAAAGTGGTAGAACAGAATTGGGCTCGAACGCTTAATGATATAAAAACACATTTCTTCATATTTGATTCAGGTGCTGAATTCAGAAGACTTTCTCACTCAAGCCTCTTTGTTTTCAGTCAAAGTTTCACTGAGTAAAGTCTGATGTTTTGTACAAGCAGAAAAGTAATCCAGGAGAGAGACATTGCAGAGACTGCGGGAGTAGAAAGGAGTTGACAGATTCAAGAGATATTTAGGATTTTAGACATCATGAAAAAGGGAATTAGAGAATGAAGGAATTGTGAGGCATGGGAAAAGGTTGCAGGCTTCTTTTCTAGGTAATAAAGGAAGCAATCAATTAGAATGGGAGTCAGTGGGCTTAATAATATAGTTAAAGACAAGTTTTATCCCCTATCAAATTTGGTCCAGATTTTCTCAAAATGGCAAAAACTGGTAGTTCACTATTTGTTAGTACCAAGGAAACATTCCTTGGGTTTTCATAAATTAAGATATTTCCAATGGCAGTGAAAAGTTGAATTATAGAATTTTAAATATAAATGTAGACTATTTGGACAAAAAGATGACAGTACACTAAAGATTGGTGACCTATGAAAGTAAACTGAAGAAAATATCACACCCTATGATTTTACCATTACATTTTAAAGTTCTTGTAACATTCAATAATAACTTTTTAGCTTGACAAAAGAAAGCAAAATGTATTTCTTATTCTCTTGGCTTGAAAAAATAAATCATTATCAAGTTTTAGAAAAATTCTGCCAAGCCCCCACTACCCAATGTCTATCTCTTGAACATTTAGATAAAGGAATGTCTGTGACTATTTCATGAGCAAAATTACCAACATCGTATAAAAATTATTCAAAATTTGGTACTAGTAGAATCCAAATTAAACTGTTTTCAGTGTCTCTGCTCTTCAAGTTGACATTTTTCAAATTGTTTCCCCTTGTAGGTTGGAGGTATAAAGTAACTGTCACACTGTCAGGAAGAAGAGTTACAGGACATGTGCTCGTTTCTTTATTTGGAAATAAAGGAAACTCTAAGCAGTATGAAATTTTCAAGTGAGTAAAATGATGTTCTATGCTTCTTAAATGTTGGACTATTATGCATGTATAATGGATGTTATCTACATAAGATATTGTTTATTCATTACTACATGGCAGTAAGAGTTTTTTCACATCTAATAAAAGGAGGAAATTGTGTACCCTTGCACCTTAATTCTACTCAGAATTATGTTACTAAATTTTCTCTACTATATCCCATGCCTGGCATCGGATTTATAATCAGTAAATAATTACTCTGTCCAAAAAATAGGAGAGGAAAAATGATATAATGATATTATTATTTATTCAGTTGTAGGGGGATTGTTACTAAAACATGTTTGAAGTTTTATTAAAGTTAAAATGACTTTGAACTAATATGAGTCATTGATGGGAAATGGACTACCACTTAGTTTACACACATCTGAATTTATTTAATACTTTGACAAATGTTCTACCAATCACCATAGCTAGAGATGCACTGTAAACTGGTTTTAGAAACATAGATGTATGTGTATTTATACATATATGTATATATTTATATGTATGCTAATTTATATGTATTTTTATGTATGCTCATGCATGTTTTTGTTAACTTCTTAACTCCCAAGGGGTACCCTCAGACCTGATAGTACTCATTCCAATGAGTTTGACTCAAATGTGGATGTTGGAGAACTGCAGAAGGTTAAATTTATTTGGAACAACAATGTGATCAACCCAACTCTACCCAGAGTGGGAGCATCCAAGATCACAGTGGAAAGAAATGATGGAAAAGTGTAAGTAATGAAAACCCAAGGAGATGTGAAATATTGAGTCTGTAGTTATAATTCTATTCCACAAAATTATACTTTAAATGTCTCCTACAGTAGTTTGCCTATATACACCACCAATCACTCTTGCTTTCTTTTTTTTTAATAATCAATATTTTTTATTATGATATAGTGGGGTACAGTTAAGGGTTAGGTATACAAATATGTTTCATCCAGGCATCCTGTTGATAAGAGCTGTTTCCGTGGTGCTCCCGGGCACCGTGGGGCACAATGATGGCTGTCCCTGTCCGAAAGCAAGGCTCGCGCCCTGCAGGGCGGTACCGGCCTCCTGGCAAACACCCGGGGATTCCGCTCCACAATCTCTGCCAGAGATGGCACTGGGCTAAAGGACACTGACACGGGACCCCACTAGGAGAGGAGATGGTTCTGGACAGACCTTGAGGAACTGGAGGGCCCCCTGGGGCGACGGGGGCCCCAGGCAGGTGACTGAGGTTACTGTAGACATCACGGGTGAGAATAGTCAAACGTTGGCCCCTGATCTCAAATGCCCAAATAGGGCACTGAGGCTTCAGAAGCCCCCCAGTGACAGGTACGTCATGACAGCCAACTGGGAGCCCACCAGCAGGGCCAGCGTGCAGGGCCGCTCCAGCAGCCTCCAGCATCCTGGAGGGAGGTCTAGGTTCCAGCTGTCTTCTTCGGGATCATTGGGGTTCCAGGGGGTCTCGGGGGTGCAGAGATGTGTGGCATTATCTAAAACTGGAAGTGTCACAGACAGAGAAAGGCTCCATCCAGCACTCCAGCAGGAAATCTGGGACCGGGTGGTCTTTTGGTGCTTGTCCTCACCACCACCCCAGGAGCCTGGCAGGAACCGCCGCTGCCATTTTGGAAGCCGGAGCCACGGGGGTGGGCCCTCAATTGTTATTGATATAAACTTTTCAATGGTTAAAAATGGACACCCCAGAAACTTCTCCTTGGACCTTTTCTCTTTTCTTGATTCTTTTTTATGAAACAATTGAAAAAGTTAAAATTTTATCTGTAAGAGGGCATTTATGCTCTAGCCCAAACTTTGCCTATACATTGACCACTTGTATTACCTAATCCTGAATTGTACCCCACATCTTTAAAATAAAAAAATATGCTAAATTTACTTTGCTTGTGTTCTATAAATGGAAAAACAAAGTTGAGATAATAGCACATATTTTGATAGTGTGGTTTGTTAAATATTTTAAACCTGCTGTTGAGACCTACTGCTCAGAAAAAAGGATCCTTTTTAAAATATCATTGCCCATTGACAGCACACTTGGTCACCCAAGAGCTCCAGGGGAGATGTGCAAGGACATTAATGTTGTTTTCATGCGTGCTCACACAACATCCATTTTGCATACCTTGGATCAAGGAATAATTTCAACTTTCATATTTTATTACTTGAGAAATACATTTTGTAAGGCTGTTGCTGCCATAGGTAGTGATTCCTCTGATGGATCTGGGCAAAGTTAATTGAAAATGTTTTGGAAAGGATTCATCATTCTAGATGCCATTACAAATATTTGTGATTTAAGAGAGGAGATCAATATATCAGTCATTCATGAAGGACTTTGAGGGGTTCAAGACTTCAGT